GTATAGTTCCTCAAAAGATTGACAGAAGTATTTGTACTTAATGTTTTGCATTGCAATATATGTATAAACATATACAATTTTTATATAAAGTGCAAAAAACCCTAATGTTATAAAAGGTGGTAATAGGTGTATATTTTAGAACTCCTTGTTTTACTTTTCCCTGGAAAAAGGAACATGAGATTTGCTGATTGGAAAAAAAAATTAATCAGAGAAAAGAATGTATGTTACCTCTGGCAATTCCTAGTGGCGGTACTTCATCCTTTCTGTCTTTTAACAAAAAGACAAATATTTTCTAGCTAAGCTGACTGCCCAACAGAGATTTAACTAATTTGTCATGTGGTCAACAAAAGCAGTTTGCAAAGACCATGCAGTTCATTTGGAGAGCAATTCTCTCAATCTGCGGTAAAACCTACGAACGGTTTGTGGGAAAGGAACGAGTGCTTCTTGTGAAACGGTATTTCTCTGATGTGAAACGCTCAGTGCAGAATGTTTGTCTCAGAACCACACATGCACACAGTATTAGAGATGCACAAAAAACTTCACAGACCAGTGAAGAAACTGCCATTCACAGCCTGCAAAGTTCAATTATTTACAGGCTCATTGCTATAAGCGGTGTGAAAGCTTTAAGTGTTGGGGTGGGAAGGGAGGTTGGTGGGGTTTTTTGTTTAAGATTCCAAAATAACTCTGAAGTTGAGGGTTATTTCTGACTTTTTTTTTTTTCTTTTTTTTTTCTTCTGCAGTGCTCTCTTTTCAGTTTATTCAGTTCTCTGAGTTAATGGAAACAGTGAGAACATCCTGCACAGGCTGTTACTAAACGGGTACAAAGTTTTACTAGTTTTCTTCTGAAGAAACTGGTTAATGGACCCATTAGGAGAGTACATCTCTTTCAGTTCAGTGAACTATCTCTTGACTGGGCGTAAATAGCACAATAGTTTTCAGTTAAAATAATTTTAAAAATTAAAAGGTAGCTTCTTATGGATTCTTTTAGCATTGCAGACTAGAAAAGCGTTATGGTGGCCACCAAAGTGCAGACTTTTGTTACACGCGTTGGTGCAAATCAGGCGAAGGATTTCTTCCCAACACGGATAGCTGAAGTTGTGACTGCCATTTTAGTTCAATATGAACTAGCAATGCAGTTTCCTTAACTATGGATTTAGTAGATGATCTTGCACATAGGATATAACCCAATCACGTTTTCTTACACCATTTACAGTGAAGGGTGTAACCATTGCCTTCTCTCTTTGCATAGAAGACATCACCAGGATGGGCAGAGAATGCCTGGGCAGAGCGAGGTGTGGTGAGAACCGCGTGTTCACTGACCCTGCTTCCCCTTTTGTTACTCACCATTGCAAGAGCAACTCCAGTTCTGCCTCCCCGCACCATGCAGAGAACAATATTCCAGCTCTGGATTAGAATCATAGCATCGTTGAGGTTGGAAAAGACCTTTAAGATCATCAAGTCCAACCGTTAACCTAACACTGCCATCCCACCACTAAACCATGTCCCTAAGCAGAAGACAAGATGAATGCTGATATGACTTAGCTGGCTGAATTCAGCCATGTTTCTATTTTATTTTCTCTCCAAAAATATTCTAGTGAATTAGAAATGCATCCCCTGGTGTTATCAATAAAGGACAGAAATGACACAGCTCCTTAAGTCAAACGAACATGCATGCAGTACAACTGATATTGATGCCATTTTTGTTGAGAACTATCCAAGATCAATCCCACTTCTTCAAAAATTAGAGCGGGCAAAAAAACCAAAGCAATGACTCCTCCCCCACATTTTCAGACTGCAGTCAACCCCCTACAATTTACACGGGCTCTATTTGCATTACAACATCCTTCATTACCCGGCATTCTCAATTCGGTATGCTACATAGAATGGAGAGAAGATGATGTGGTCTGTCCCAGAGAGTTTAGATTACACAAATCCCAGTGAGACACAGAATCAGTCAAACTGGTCACGTGTAAGACCCCACTTTGCTAACTGCTCATACTGGTTCCTTCACATTCTTCCGTTATCTCAATTACAAGAAACCCAATTATAAAGAAAATTGCTGAGAACAGTTTGATACATGAATTCTACAAATTGTAGAGAATTACATTTTAGAGACTCAACAGTCGTGCTCTACTCTCCTACCTAGCAAGGAAACAGTGAATCATTTCAACTAGTGCTTAATCAATAGTGGCAGCAACAGCACAGAAAGGAAAAAAAAATTTAAAAAAAAAATCTTTTTGTGTAAGCCTAAGGAGTCAGATTCTTGACAGTGGCATCTCTTTACATACTACTATAATCAGTTTTTTTTTATTCAGGTGTTTTTTGGTTTTTTTCTGTTGGCAAGTTGGATAAAAATGCAGAAGTTTCTCTCTCCTATCACAGTCAGAAAAAATCTTGTCATACAAAGTACCATGATATCAAAAATTTAACTTAAGAAATTAAATGACTGCTCAAGTAATTCTATTTATGTATTCTTACTTCATCAAATTACTGCTTTATTTGGAAAGAATACTACTCAATATCCTCTACAGCAGCATCCATGAATTTTACTCCTGTCTCCAGTACAGTCAAGCCAAGGGTCCACCTACACGAACAGCCGCCTCCTGAATGTTACTACGCTTCTCATGGCTCAAGATGACACACTCTCTGGAGACTCTGTTCTTGGTAATATCAGTGCTATTGGGGAAAAAAAAAAAAAAAAAGGATGAATTCTATAGCAAGTGAAGTAGTTGGCACAAATGTTTAAATGTGGAATCCCTTGGAATCGCTCAGGAACTTCAGCACATTCCTTCACTGGTGAGAGCCCATGTCTTGGTTCTAAAGAACCCCTGTCAATAAACCCCAGCTTTCAGAGGCTGCATTTACCTTATTAGCAGAACAGATAGGCTGGTTATAGCACTTTTGAAGACATTTAGGACAACTTTTAACTGGAAGCCTCAGCACCACTTAGAACCTACACATAAGAAAGATACCTTTGCTTTCTTTTTATGTATGTGATGTATTGGAGAACGTTGGCCCCATGTTTCCTTTACTGCACAAAGCCAGGAAAATTGGTGAGTTCCCAATCGCATGACATTCCAGTTTCACTTTGCACTAATACGATTTCCCAAGAGAGCAGAATATTGAATGAAGCTCCTATCGTTTCTTCCCAAAATAACTCTTGTGGTTTTTTACATTAGGCTTAAGCAGGCCTTTATTTGTTTGCAAGAAACACGTTAGGGATTACTGGCAAGCCAGTGATTTAAATCAACATAGATACATATCAACGTCTATATAAAACTGAGCAGGTAAGACATACAACTAATTTTTTAAACAGACTATAAAGGAATTTGTTGTATGAAGTTCCTTGAAAACAAAAAGGAAAATGTTGTCTTTGATAATCAAATTCTAACTTCACTTTCAAACTGAAAAACAAGAAACCTGTAGCTTGCTAACATGAGATGACTTATGCAAAGTAAGTTTTGTATCTACCCTAGTACTGGCGGGCTTATTCTAAGAAAAAGAACAAAGGAAGTAAAAGCATCTTTTAAATTCTGGCAGTTCAGTGCATGGAATAACCAGATAGCTGGCACAACCATCTTCCACATCTTCTAAACAAAGAATTTGATCAGAATCTCTTACCTAGAACTCCAGTAAGTTGGTAACAGAAAAATTCCACCCGTATCTCTCGACTTAATTCAGAATTAGCATCTTTCTAGACCTCAAGATGAGAAAATTCAGAACACAAAAGATTACTACTCAGGACTCGCTTTTAAAACCGTTACGGCAAGAAAGAGCAAGTCTGGTTTTGGAAGCTACAATCCCTTACTCCCCGTAAGTAGCTCCTGAGTGCCAACAAATTCAGTATAGTCTCCTTCTCTACTTATGCCCAACCTCAGAATTAATTTATGCACTATTGCAATTCTAAAATGTCAAATGAGAATTCCAGTTAGCCCTTTCTGAACCAGATATCAAACAATTCAACTGACCCATGCAAATTATCCTAACCCCAACATGCCATAGCAATTCAAAGAGACATGGCATGGGAAACAGTTATTTGAGATATTCGAATACAAAAGTATTCAACGTATATGCAGTGGCATAGATGTTTCAAGTGTTTCACGAAAACAAAGCTTAATTTCTTTCAAAGTACTTAACAAAGTGAGGTAATTGTTTTCACTACATAGTTTCCTTTCTTCCAAGAGATAAGCCATGAAATTTGTCGTTAAACAAATCGATGCAGATTTCCTGAACTTTACAAAAAACTTAGTGATCCTCACACATCCGCTAGACATCACAACCAATATAAACCAGATAATGGGATCGACTGGAGAGTTACATAAGCCACAAACATATTATCCTCACTTTGCAAATGGCATATATTTCGAAGACTTTTAAAAAAGAAGGTTTCTAATGGAGTGAGTTTCTTGCCATAAAATCATCCTAGGATAACAGCTTCAACTGATAGGAACTTGCAATCAGCTGGTGAAATTCCTGAGATACGTCTATATCCTGTAGCAAAAGTGTGGAAGTCAGTGAAAGCGGTAAACACGTTACTCTAAGGTCAAAGAATTAACATCTCTGTGGCTCAGGACATCTTTTTGATGAATGTGAAACAGCTGGAATAAATACATCAAGGGTAACAATTGTGCTCCCATGGCAGATCCAGCTGCTGCAAAAATAAACCCAGGGGGAAAAAGCCAAAGAGTAAAAAACCCCAACAATATAAAAAAACCTCCTACACCATACAATCCCACTGTTTCTGCACGTGTCCTTTTAAAATAGAGGACTCTCTGCAAATACTCGTTGAAAATGAATGTAGAAACTAATCTGTTGAAAGCAAAAATCAGATTATAAACAGTTTAAAAGAAAAAAAAAAAAAAAAAAAAACAGACTCATTTAAACAGCACTTACAGCACTATTTTTATCTTCAGTCATTTTCTTCCAGACTTGAGGAACACTTGTAACCTGCTAGCAAGAAAGTTCTTTTTAAAATAAACAGAGACTCATAATAATCCTGTTAATACTTTATTAGTGTAATTTTTTAGCTTTCTATTGGACAGAACATAAATGCAAACTCAAAAAAAAAAAAAAAAAAAAATTTCAGAGTCCTCTGCCATTCAGTTCGAAGTGACCATGGCAGCCTGTTTCATGTTCATTCTTTGTTACGGAAACAAGAGGAGAGGGAAGGGAGGGAAAAAGCATCAATAGAACAATTAGGCACACAGCTGACACTTACTGTACAATGATATGCACAAGTAATTTAGAACGGCTATATTCATGAGATGTGCTCTTCAGATTTTTCCCTTGTAATATACGAGCTTTGCTCAGATGAGCAAGGATCATTGAGAACAAGGGAATTAACAAAGGAGTAACAAATAAGACTTCTAAAACAAGTCCTTAAATATAACTAACGCAACAACAGAATGCAAAACTGTTCAGCTGAGAAGATGTTTTTAACCTAGACTTCAAAACATTAAAAATTCGTTTATTTTACAGTTATTCAAATACACATGCATTAAATGAAAATATTGCACAAAATTAAAATTTAGATTGTGGAATTCATATATTTTTATTTTGGTACACATTCTGGTAGCACTTAAAATTTACTGTTTAGTTCTAGCAAACACCAGCAGCACAAGCTTGAGGATGAACCAAATGAAAAGTTCAATTGCTCATTTTCTCTTAAAAATAATTAAGGCTAAAACAAGTGCATTTGTTGACAATGGCACAATTTTCAGCAGCCAGTCCCAGCACCCAAAGGCCAGAAGAGACACTCAGACACTTAAGTGCTGTATATTAACATTCAATTTTGGAGACTTCCTAGGATAATGGCTGCATCGGTTGACAGGGCAGGTATTTTAAATCGTCAACAGGAAAACCATTTAAATAAAGATACATACAAACTCTTTTTAACAAAAAGTATTCATTTCTGATGATTCTTGCCAGCCAACAGGCACCACTGAATTCGGAAGTCACATTCTGTAATTAAATACAGAAGACAAAACTTCAATACATATATACATATGCACACACGTGTATATAAATGTGTGTATAGGTATATATACGCAATAAATTCATTAAGTAAAACAACTAATAAACATGGCATATTATGTTCACATTCCTAGAGATATTATTTTATTTTTGTACAGAAATGTACCAGATAATTTAAAAAAAAAATCCCAAATTTGCACGTGATCACTATTCTCTTGAAATTTTTCATGGTACCTACAGATAGATAAAAGGTTCCACAGATTCGACAAAACAGTATTTGAACTTCCCACTTTCATACTGCATAACAAATTCAATGATTTAAAAGACATAAATTAGATTTGGTAGGATCAATGATATATTTACTATATCACCAAGAACAATTGCTGAACGATCTTTCATCAGTCAGATGTCAGGTATGCTTGAGCACCCTGACATCAGAGGAAGATACAGGCATGTAAACAATAGGAGTTGGCTATGTTGATTACTTCACACAGAACTCAATAATTTTGTTAAATTCAACAGCACTTAATCATCACGCTTCTACAGAACCTGCAGAGAGGAAGGGGAAGGGTTCTTACATATTTACCAACTTCGTCTTCCTAGGGATTATAAAAGAAAGGGATTTCATTTACAGTATTTAGTTCTGCAATAAAGAAAAAAACCAAGTGCACTTGAGCCCATGCATACTGTATGAGAATGTTAACAGTACAATATGATCATCATTAAGGAATATGATAAAAGGCTACATTGCATTAATAGAGTCCATGAGAAAAAATGATCTGTATAGAGGCTTCAGTCAATTTAACTAGGTCCTTTGAGAGCCTTCTATCTTCTCTTAGAACGCTTTCATGAAAGGTCTATGTTCCTCCCTCACATAAAAGGATCATTTGTTCCCATTAAGACACAAATTACTACAAAGATCCCTGATCAATAGCTGGATCCTACCCTGTGTTTAGCGTTCAGAAAAAAACCGGACTCTATAGGATTACTTTCTATTCACCCAGATAGTGGTGCTCAAACAGTTGGGGACTATGAAAAAGAAAACACAAACTGAGATATGCTGTGGCCAAACAGGATTATTCAGTTGTTACTTTGTTTTTAATTGGACAGAAATTCTTCAATGAAACTAAACAGATGGATGTGGGGTCTTCATGTTAAATTTTTATTAAAATTTTACACTATGCAAAAAATAAAAAAAATATTTAAAAAAATATTGTCGTTTTATCTCCTTTTTATTTTCATATATACACTGACATGCGTTCAGGAATTTCCAAGTTTTTGCATATGACTAATGAAATCCTTTACTTGTGAGGAACCAACTAATTCTAATATTTTTCCATATGAGGCTTACAGACGAAAAGGTAAGGAATCTTTCAATTAAGTAGGACATAGTCTTTTACACCCAAAAAGAGTTTCAAATTTTAGTGGGGAGTTGTGTGTAAAACTGTGTCTTAGTGCAATTTCCTCATCTTCTAACATGATGGTCTGTCCTCTTTGAAACATGTACCCCCTTCCTTCTACAAATATCAACTTGACATATGTCCAAATACGCCAATTGAACATAAATATGATGCCCCTTCTTCACTGAAGTTACATGCAAAAATGTATGCCAGGTGCTGTAAGAGCAGAATAGCACCTTAAAGCTACAGAATAATCAGAATAAAGGGTTTATTTCTACTGCACCTCTGCCTTTACTAAAACCCCCATTAGATCTAACGTTAGTTTATTTTTCAAAACATGAAAGGTGAAGTAAATGTGGCATAAAAGCCACATTACCTCAACTTTTCTTTAATAAATGTACTTTTATGATGGGGCTATAACTATTTCTCCCCTCTCCTATGAACCTGCTATTCCAGAGACGTCTTTCCTGTTAGCTCAGCCTTTACAGGAATGTTAAAAGAGCCCTACAGAACCTCGACAGTCATAACATAGAACAATTCCACCTGATTCTCACACATTGCACTATCTCCCAGTGCCAAAACATCCTTTTCTTCCGTTGTATCACCATAGTTGTGCTTTACTTGAACAGTCTGGCACTTTTCATTGCTGGCAAAACATCGACTCAGGATCGGAAAGAATCATGCTTTCTTATATATTGGGCCAGTATTCTTCTCAATGTTGCATGAAGACGCACCAAATCATTTAAGATGCACAAACCCTTCTGGTAGTGGTTGAATTACAAGTGAAGATGAGAAGATCCACAGGTCTTACAGATGCATTAATAATCTAATATGTGACACTAGAAGACTGGTGCAGAAATAACAGCATGTGAGTTTGAAGCCCCAGAGAATCTGCCCAAGTAATTAGTCCTGGACAAACATACACCAGCTTTATAGGTTTCAAGTGTCACCTTTTCTGCAAGGAAGGCGCTTGAGTAGAATGTAGTCTCTGCTTATACCTCTGCATCTGCTTTGACCGTGAATGCAGTTTGTTGAAGAGCTCATGGAACTTATTTTGTGGAAATAAGGTTTCTAGGAATCTCTCCAGAAACACGTACACCATTCTCTTATTCAGTTGAGTGTGCTGGAACATTTCAAAGACCCGAAGAATGCCCTTCCGTGTTGTCTCAGCACCTATGATGTGCTTCAGTTCATCTACAAAAAAATGAAAGTTACACAGAAATTTAAGCTGAATTCTGCTTCTGTGTTAACGACAAAGTTAAACTGAATATTAAGTCTGTCAAATTACGTAGCTTGGAATTTGAAGTAGCAGTGCCTCTACAATACATAACATGACAAATTCTCCTACAGCAGAAAGGATTTCTGAAAATTACTTCACTTTTACACTATATATGTGGAACCATGATATTTTACATGAAATCATGCTGTATGGGAATATAGGTATTTCATGCACTAAACTTAAATCCTCTATTGAAACTAAATATGGGCTTGGTTCTAAGAAAATTACAGTTGTAAAGTTACAGTACATGTGAAAATGTTCAGTGCTTTAATAATTAAAAACCTCTTTATTTAAATACAGTTCCTAAAGCAACATTTCTTTTCGACATCTCAACAATCAGCAAGAACACTGACATTAATTCCAGTAACAATATATGATAAGAATTATTAGGCTTCAATCTCAGACTCACTTACCTGGCATTACTTCCAGTAATTTGGTCTTCCCTGCCACTCTTGTTCTCATTCTAATAGCTTTGTCCCTCCGTGGAACGGTCTCTGCTAAAATGCCATTGGGCCAAAAAGCATCTCTGTAACAAAAGCAAATCTGTCAAAATACATTAAAATTTTATCAAGTGAAAGGCTCTTTTTAATCCCTCAAAGCTATCTCATAAAATAAACACAAGAAAGTAAGTTGCACACAACCTATCATGCACTTCAAATATTAGAAAAGGGAAAAGGCGAAAAAGGAATCAAAAGCAAGAAGTACAATACACTTAACCTACTAGTAGCTACCATAGACTTTTTTAGTACAAGAATCAGATGAAAGGAAATCTTAAGAAAATACTACACACCAAAAACATTCAAATACCACATGGCGGTTAAATAAAATATACTGAAGATTTGCTTTTAGCAATCAGTCTCTATTGCCACTGAGAGACTTTAGGCTTAGGTCTATTCATTGCTTCATTCGATCTCTGACCTGTCGACAAGCTAAAGCTGAGATGAAGTAGTTTCAGTGTAGTATAAAGCCCAATGTAAAAGGCATGCCTCTGTTTAAAAAGGTATTCTGCCTCAGTGAATGACATTCTTTTTTTTGAATAACAAGTGCACATTCTTAGTCTGTTTTAATAAAGAATAATAGAATATCTGTGAAGTATGACCCTTTGGCTAATACGTTATCCCACTTTATCTCTTTCAATAAAAAAAAAAAAAAATGGCAAGGGGGGTGGCTCTCGCTCAACACCACTGCAGAAGCCATTAAGATTTACAGTATCTGCCCACATGCGAAACATATTAGTTTAGAGCTAGGGTTTTTAAGACAAAGCATGCACATGATTTCATCAAGGTAAAAAAGACACTTCATCCAGTAATATGATGAAATTCATAAGTATACCCATACCTTAGCACTTCTAGAATGGTTAACAAAGAACTTTTTAAGGAAGAGGACAAAACTCAAAAATGTTCTTCATGTGACAATTATTTTCTCTCACTTAACACATGTAAAAAGCAGTGTATGCTCCAACTGGAATTCTGTACAGTAATAGTAATTTCCTCACATAAAAAGTATAGGAAGGATACACAGATATTAGACATCAATTGGCAAGTACTTCATGTTTAACATCTATGATAAAAGACATACCTGAAGCGTTTCACGGCATCTGCTACTTGCTCAGGAGATGTCATCCAATCAACATGATCAACTATTTTTCTAAAATCAAAGTAACAAGTCTCTCTCATTTAATTTTTAAAACCAAGAACAAATCAGTATAGCATTTTAAAGAGCACTCTAGGGCAAACAAAATACAATTTCAGCTTTCTCCAACTCCATAAGTAGGTTCTATAAAACTGCACACTAGGAAGGCAAACACTGACTCTCAAGATAAAAGTCTAAGCTCACTGATCACTCCTAAAGCTAAAGCTTTTTTCTTTTTAGTAAATGTACGATGACTAAGCAGGCTGGAAAATTGATGTTGCATCTCCCATCAGCATTAGATGAAGATTCTGCTTGTAGAGCACTCTTCAAGTCCTGCTTCTCTAAGTAAAGAACCTACTTAAAATCTCAAATTCCCATACTTACGTGTTCACTTACTTCATAATCTTTAACAGGAGATACAGACTGATCATAAACTTTGACCTTCATTCATCAACACATACACACACAGCTCAATATCCAAATCTAGTGTGTTTACAGAAATGATATACACATCTGTGTATCACCATAGTCCCAGGATTATTTCCCCAAACACGATTTGAATTTAGTTTTCTAGGAAACAGGAAAACGCAATTTAGCTGCAGAATGCCATTAAGCCCCAAGAATCTGCTAGGACAAGGTATGACTGCCGAACCAGAGGAAGCTGTGAGTAT